CTCAAAAAAGACAAAACTTTTCTTTCAAAATCAAAAACCTAAAAAGCAACAGGAAGAAAGTATGAGCTAAAAATGCTACACGAGATGTAGGCCAGACTAAAACAGGGGAAAAAATGGCAAACTGTGGGCTCAGAAGAAAAGCAACTAAAGCAGACAAAATTCAGTACCCAGCGGTCTTCAAAGAGACAGAAAGAAAAAAAACATAAGAAAAATTTATATCTATTGATGAAATCAAAGTGAAAAATAAAAAGCAACCAAAAGAACTAAAAAAAGCATCATTAAATTAGTCAAATTAACGAAAAAATTCTGGAAGGAAAGAAAAGAAAAATGCGTTGAGGAAACAAAGGTAACACTTTCCGGTTGAAAAATGAAAATATGAACAACGTATTTTATGGTTCTTCTTTGGTATTTTATGGTCACCACTAATCAGAACTTTATTTCCTCTGTAACTGTGTTATTTTTAAGTTTCAAATTGAATGTCAATTACACTAAGATGTTTTTTTTCCAGTGTCAAATTGATGCTTATTACAACTATTCTTGAGTTAAAATCTCTCACAGCGTTCACATAATGAAGAAAATTAGATATACTTTGTTCCAAAAACATGAATTATTAGTAAGCTTGTGAAGTTCTACCAGTTTTATCAATACACTGAGTAATACCAATAAGATTAAAATACTGTTCTGTGCTTGAACATGACATCTTACAAGTTATTCCTGTATTTAAAAAAGCGCTAAATGCCTTGATAAATAAGAACTGCTTCCTGATTTTATTCTATAAAGTTCTCAGACTGTAAATCTTAAAATTATATTTTTTTTCTGCAGAGTTCGCAGCCGGTTTCATAAGCTATCAACAGACCAACCGTATCTCTTAACTTTCTTTCTCGCTACTCATTTATGTGGTATAATAGAAAAATAACAGAGTTGTTAAAGCAGCTTTGCTATTCTGCGTAAGAAGTGCTTATAAAGGTTTTATCACTGTCAATTTGCTTTCAAAGGAACTAGAAAACGATCCTTATTGGTGTACGGCGCGTATTTCTGCGTCTCTTGAGCAAATTGTGGCTCTTTTGTGCAAAACGGAAAATTAAACAGGTTATGAAGTTAATAAGACACCTTAAAAAAGTTTTTATCTTTGTTAGTGAAGATACTGAGGTTACATTTTGAGTGCCAAGAAAAATGGGAACTGGGATTACTGCATTTTGTAGGGTAAATAACAATTGACAAGGAGTAGCAGTAAAACGTAAACTTTTCGATCGTCTGCTTCAGAGGTTGCTGTTTTACAGCAAAGACAATACTACAGTAAAAATGAAAGGTTGAAAATTTGTAAATGCAAAAAATGGAAAA